GGCTGGATTTACTCTCTCTGCTGCCCCAAGGCCAGGTTCCTCAATGGGCCCGCCAAACCTCCCCAATGAAGAATGGCAGACGTGCAGGCTACATACAAGTGATCTCTGCGACATCACCGGGATCATTTATACAAAACGAGCGGCGGCTTCCTCGCTCTACATTTAGCTCTGCTTGCCTAAAGAAGAGCTAAATGTAGAAAACAACTACATGTCCCAGGCATCGGGAGATAGGAATTCTACACCCCTGCTGCCCCTCTACTCCCTGCTGCCCCAAGGCTGGGCCTTGGTTGGCCTTGTGGGAAATCCGGCCATAGCGTCAGCCCTGAGCGACTCGACAAACTGCTGCGGTCAAATAATGGCCACTTCTCCTTTTTACCTTTAACAGGTGCTCTTTAAACAGCCTGCGTGCAGATCAGATGAGGAGCACAAGTGATGCCACCTCTCATTTAACAGAGGATTGGTGAGCGGGCATTGGTCTGGGAAAAATATCTCCTGGCTATAGGTGTTTCGGTTAGAAAAAGCGAAAGTTGTCTAGACAATTAGTGACATTCTAGTGAAAAGGGCAGAACATGCGGCAGGAGAGAGAGAGCGGAAAGGTACGGAAATGAGAGCAGCCATGGAAATATCAGAGAGGTGGACCGCTGTAGATGGAGGGAAATGGAGAGGAAACATGGGGTGTTAAAACTGGACAGTGCACCATGTAGTGACGCCCTGCTGAGACTTGTAGTACCACAATGGCTGTAAAAGGCATGACAGGGTAAGACATAAGCATATTCTTAACCTGGCTTGCTACAGCCCTAAACCATTATAAATACCCATACCCAATAATAGACACTGGTAAAAATATAAAATTCTCCATTAAAAAGCGAACATCATAGGACTTATGAACAAATCCAGCGTGCCTACAGGTGCATTCCACATGCATTTGACATCGGTTTGAAACCATTCTGAGAACATTCACAGCTCATCGACAGTTACATTAGAACTGCATTTGACCTACTTCTCTGCTGCATCAATCTGCTTCAAGCTGCTTTTTAAGTTCCTATCGACTTGTATAGGGAGAGCAGCAGTTCTGTTGCAAGCAAAAGCCCTTTGACACAGGCCCTTAGGCTAAGGCTATGTAGGCGATTACATCTGTTTGCCAAGAAGAGATTTGCTCACTAGTTGGTAGTCACTATGAGCAAAATTGGGAGCTTTCACACTGCTAAAAATGTTGGCAAAGAATTGAGTCACTTTAGAGAAATTTAGTTATTTTGCTAAAAAGGAATTGGAGTCCATAGGGAAGGCTAACTAAAGATGTGTTTGGTGGGTTTTAAGGGTGCCATGGACTTTCACTTGCCCCTAAGGGTGGGGGAAGCTCAATTCAACTATCCTGATCCTGTTTTGTTCTAAGAAAAAGACCCTCATTAGCTGGGAACATGACCTTAGATCAGGGTAGGCAACCTCAGCACTTCGTTCCTTCCTCCATCTCCCTTTTTAACCCTTAATGTAGCTACTGGGGGAGGAGCAAAGGGGAATACTATAGAGCAGGGGTGGGCAAACTCCAGCCCCTAGGCTGTTGCGAAACTACAAGTCCCATGAGACATTGCACGAGTTTGACAGCCATAGACACAACTTCCAGAGGCACTTGCATGATAGGATTTGTAGTTTCATCATACCTACACCTGCCTTAGATATTGAGGAACCTAAGGCTAACCTCAACATTAACTTAATATGAAGCCTAACCCAAAAGTGAAACCTTTGTTATTCTTTAAGACTGCATGACATCAACCACAGACCAGAAAATGTAAAAGCTTTGCAATCACTGGAAACAATCAATGCAAAACTTGGCCATCTTTGATCATCTTGGTCACTCGGTTGCCTCAATCTGAGCATTTCAAGCATTTTTCAGGGACAGAGGTGAGGACAATCGGTAGCAAGAAGAGCTGTAGATCATAAAGCAGGCCCTCACAGACCCAAATCACCATCCTTCAGGGACATGGTATGAGGCAGCTCTGTCATCTGGCTTGATGGTGATTATATTGGACATAAACTGGAAGCTCATTAACTGTCAGTCAATATCTGAGCTAATGAATGAGAGGGGTGTGCTGAGAGCACAGAGGCACAGAGCGCTGGTGGGCGACCTCACTGGGTACGGCATCAGTGAATGGCGGGACAGGTGGAGGAGCAGTTCAAGGTAAGCTGACAAAGGGTGCCATCTTGTTTTTTAAAGGTTCTGTAAATCCTATACATTTAGATTAAGGGATAGATAGAGAAAGAGGTAAAAAACAAAACAAAAGGAAGCTCTCAGAACTTCTTATAATAAGAATGATTAAAATAATAACTCCAGGTGGCTCAGGCATCAAATGCACATGACTTATAACTGCAGTCCTGAGTTTGATCAAGGGCAAATCTGTACATGGGTAGAAGGTACAAAGAATCATGGGGTGCACTGGATCTTCGACTGAAGACTCGGGTGGGCTAATGAGAGTTATTTTTTCAATTTTTAACTTTTTTGTAGCGATAGATGTTTTCCATCTTTTAATCTAAGTGAAGGGCATTGCAGTCTGGCTTCAGCTTTCTCTAGCCTAAAATAGCTCAGCGAGTAGAATAACACCTACCTTCCCAGCAAATGGAAAGACATTTTTTATTTTTTAGTGCTTTTTGATTTTTTTTAAACGTTAAGTTTGAATGATAACACTGCTATCGTTTTAAAAGTATTTCCAGGGAAAGCCGATCGAAGTAGTGCACAGCTCCCTCTGTCAGGTGAGTGATTGCATGAACTCCATGGGGGTGATTTACTAACCTAAACACACACACACACCAGGTGTGTGTGATTCTCACACAGCAAACGTATTTATCAACCAAAAAGTCTCTAAAAGCATATTTCCACTAATGCCATATATGGAAAAATCATGCACATGATGCATATATAATGCTGCTTCACAGTTTAGACAAAAATGGTTAGCTCATGCATTTACATTCCTGCATTCATCAACGCAAGCAACATAACATAGAGCTAATTTACACCACATTACCTTGCAATTCAGGGCAGGGCTTTGCACAACACACCTGCTGGGTGTGTACACACTACAAAGGTGTTTCGATTCCTCCCATAGATCATGCTGGGAGGGAACACACTGCAGAGGTGTATACACGTTCGTGGTGTGTTTAAAACGTTAGTAAATCAACCCCCATATCTTTAACTTGAAGGGTATTAAGGTCCAATATGTCCCCCTGCACTCCTTGCAGCGTGTTACACTGTTGCCCTGATGAAGGGTCCCTACGTGGCCTCGAAAACGTTGGTTATAATTATTGCAACATGTATGACGATCTGTCCGATTAAATGGACGTTATCATTTTTTACTGAGTGCTGGTGATTCCTATTAATTTCCTGTTTAACTTGAAGGTTGAAGGGGGAACTACAAATCATGGGGACCCATGGCAAAACTCAACCCAACCCCCCCTCCCCCCGCTAACTATCCTTGTGGCAGGTAGCAGTTATAGTAGCAACCATAGCCAGTACATTACTAGGGAGCAGTGCTAAGGATAAAAGTTACAGTACCACCAATATTAATAACCATAATGATTTTTTATATTATGATCAAATGAATAATGCTCTTGCACGCAGTTACTCTTTGACCCTAATACAAACTTCTTTAATCTGTAGCTTCATGAAATTCTTTTGTAGAACTACAAACCTCAGCTCTCCTATAAGGTTTTAGCAGAGATGAAGCTCTGTGTTTTGTGACTGCATTAGGCATACAGGATTAATCTCAGTCTGTAGCAGAAGCTCAGAGGGCAATACATCTACACTGCTAAGACAGATAAGCAAATACTTCTTACTGCACAGAGGGGGATCCGTGACTAGAGGATCCTGAAGTCTGATTTCAGCCCGTCTATACTGCAAACTTTACAGTTTAGTTTTCCTAATCATTCTCCCTAATGGAGCCCCCTCCAACCCCAGGCCCCATAGCAGCACCATGGACAGCTATGGCTATTTTTTTTATTATGTATCTTTCGTTATAATACATAACGGCCAAACGGCCATAGCTGGTATCATCTTTAAATCCGAGGATTTAAAGCAGAATAGTCCCACAACATAGTCAATCATTGCAATGCAGGTAAAGGGCAGCGGCTTCATTCAGTGACTGCAAATATCAGATTCCATTCAAAAAAACGTATGCAGACTTTGTATTTTATCCAAACACAATGCACAAATACTTATCTGCATTTCAATGTTTCACATGCTGGCGAATTAGGCATTCCAGTGTCGGCAGCTGACTAGGGTAAATCCTGGGGAAAAAAAGAGTACGGCGTTCAACCCAAACAGGTTCTGTTTCCAACCTTGTTTTGAAGTAAGTTTATGTCTATAGGCAGAACGTGATTTAGTTTTGGAGGGAGACGGCAATAGAAGAACCCAGGGCAAGTAGCTTCCGCTGTCTGTGTACCATTGGGGAGATTTTCCTGGAGACACAACAAGAAGCAAGACAAAAAATTGCACACAGAACAGGTAGGTTTCCCCATTTGAAGGTTTCCCCTTATCTACTGTTTTGGTGACAACTAAAAAATGTGTGATTTTGCTTTACTTATAGCGCTCTACAAAATGAGACTTTGTGAGACGTTAGTTCCACCATTTGAAAGTAGCCATTGTTAGGGTTGTGATTGAGCGCTATAGGTAATGTTAGTGTTACTGCATATCTCCCCATAACAGGAAGTGCCTGAACGAGGACCTTTGTGGCAGGATCACAGGTATTCTTTAAAGAAAGCCTCAGATCCTTAAAGACTGAAAAATGACTTTTGAAATGACATTAACAGGTTAATACTTATATGAGACTTTAATATATATGTATACTGTACCTATATAATACCTATTTTATCTCAACAGCTGTGACCCAACTCAGCGTTCCCCCCTGGCACATTTGTTGTATCGCTCAAGGATCTTGGTCAGTTAGCTCTGCTCTAGCCAGTGACTTTCCTTGGTGGAGCCCCAACTTCTTCCCTCTTCTTGCTGGACCAGGATGGGAAAGATTAATAGTGACTCCGTGGAGTTGACCTCACCAAGTGAGGTCCGCCAGGCTCTGCCCATCGAAACTCACTGCTCATCTCCAGCAGATGCCAAGAAGACATCAGACACAGAGGACCGAGGAACATGGAAGGGGCGATTCGACTTTTTGCTCTCCTGCGTGGGGTACGCCATCGGGCTGGGAAATGTGTGGAGATTCCCGTATTTGTGTGGAAAAAACGGAGGAGGTGAGATGGCATCAGCTTCATGCATGCTCCATGTATTGTCCAATAAGTTCAGCCAAAAGGTTCAGACCCACCCCCATTCCTCGGTCAACGGAGGCCAATTCTGCCTCATAAGAGACAAAAATTATTTCCTGACCCCACAAAAGTAGTTGTCATCAAGATTCTTCCATACCATCCTTTACTAATTACAAGTGTAAGAAAAGCATGCAGTTTCCATTGCTAATTAATGCATTAGCGCATTACAGAGCTTAAAGCTCGTATCTGGCCAGTCCAGGAAGTAGATGGTGACCCTGTATGATGCCTCAACAAAGCTGGTAAATTAGGAAGGCCCATAGCAATGGGATCTGGTCAGAGTTACCAATGGTTTCTTCTAGAACACTGCGAACAGCCAGGATGGTCCAGTAACTTATAGGAGAAGGGTAGCTATCTCTGGACTCAGGTAAGAACCGCTGGCTTCTTCTAGAACAGGTACCTGGAATAGGGTGAGGGATCTCTCTTGTGGGCCCCAGACGGACGCTCTCACGCTCCTCTGCGGTACAAGAAGACTCTACCTCCGGCCCAGCTTCCATCAGGTCTTTTCCTCTTCAGTATCTGGAATCTCTGTGCCCTCAGCATTGGCAACTGCCAAAGAGCACTCCAGATTAGTAGTAGTATCCTCTTAGAACAAGGCACCCAACACCTCCTACGTGTATGGGGCCCAAGCAAAGTTCCTATGGTGTCCTAGGCCTCTAGGCCCCCAGCACTTGCCATGTGCTGAGGCCCAGGCTCTTTCCATCTGCTTTACAGAGACCTCCTAGGGAGAGGCCCCCCGGGGGAAGAGAGAGGCCTGCACAGTGTCACCCAGACCTTTTATTACCTGCCCTCAACCATACCACTGAGTCATCGTGCTCAGGGATTGGTCAGGGTCAGGTGCATAGTCACAGTCTAAGGATGGATCCTCCCTCACTGTATGCCAAGGCTCCCTTTTCCTCAGTAACAGGAGGAACTGTCTTTGTTGCTGTTTATTCTTCCCTCACTTCCTGTTTGCTGAAACTGCTGTCACTGCCATAGTAGGTGAGGGGAGTCCTCTCTAAAGGTGACCATACACATAGCGATTTGTGATGGACTTAGGTTCAAGCATCGGAGATTCAAACAATACAACACACGCGCTATTGTTCCACAATGCCCAACTGGAGAAAATAAGAAAATATTGATGGAGAATACGACCTATCACTTATAAATGTAAACAATCTGTAATCAATCATCATTTAATCAATCTGAATTATGAAGACTTCTCCCCCCGACACACACAGATATTCGTTCGATCGATCAGAAGTGATTGACAATGTTTTGCAGTCGATCATCTTGGTAGTTTTGAAATCGATTGAATGGATGATTTGAGTTCAGTTGCGTTTTTTTAATCCAATTTGATCGGTTTGGTTGCCTTGAATGATCGTTTGTATGGCTCTATATGAGGGGTTGAAAACTCCTGCCCTCCACCTGTGCTTTACTACAAATCCCAACACGCCTCTGCCACTTGGACTCATGCCTGTAACTGTCAGTCTTGCAATGCCTTGTGGGAATTGTAGTTCTTTAACAGCTGGAGGCGGGAGTTGCCCACCCTTGCTCTAGACAAAGCTGGAAAATAAAGTTTGGGCTCCAGATATACTTGAAGTGAATATTATTCACATGTCTGGCTAGAACATGACAAGAATAAAAGAAGTAGACTGCCGGGACACAAATATCCAGGGCAGTGACCTCACAAGGGGGTGTGCTGGGGCTGTGGCCTGCACCTGCGGGTGACACTATTGGAGGGGCAGGGATCCCAACCTGAAAGAAGCCATTTCAGGGAGGTGTCCTTCTCATTTCAGGGAGGTGCCCTCTACACCCCCCCCCATCCGCAGAGAGGGGTTAGGGGGGCTGGGAGAGAGCACCCCCCTGAAATGATGGCAGATAGCACAGGAAGCAATAGCTTCTTTGCTATCTGCAGGTTTTTTTTCTGATTTTGTTTTTAGTTGCAGTCGTCAGAATATTTTAAAAAAAGGCATACGAATCCATAGCTAGATTCCTATTGGCTATTGCACTTTGCAATAGCCAATAGCAAACTAGCTATTGCACCCGCCCTCTGCTGCTTTCAATCACCAGAAGAGGACCTGATAGAAAAATTCAGGTCCCCCTCTGCTGATTGACAGCAGCAGTGGGCGTGTACATTACCTAGTTTGCTATTGGCTATTGCAAAGTGCAATAGCCAATAGGAATCTAGCTATGGATTCGTAAGCCTTTTTTCTTTCTTTTCTGACTGACGGTCGGGCCGCGGTTCCCGATGTCAGAAAAGAAAAAAAAAAAAGATCGCAGGGAAAGGTTTATCTGCTTGATCGAGCAGATAAACCTTTCCAGGAGGAAGTGTTTCTCTCCCGGGCGGCCGGGAGCCGCTATCCAATAGCGGGAGACTCCCGGAGCGTCTGGGAGAGTTGGGATGTCTGGAGAGGTGACACCAAAATGACTGAAAGTCATTTTGGTGTCACCCCCTCTGAAAAGTCGGGCACTTGGTCATGGACCGAGAGCCCGACAGTTGTACGAGGGAGGAGGGGACCTGTCGGGTGAACGTCCCCTCTTCTCTCTGCCGGCATCCATCACCAAGATGGCTGCCACAGGTGACAGCGAAAGACATCATCACGCATGCGCAATGACATCACTGCGGGGTGTCACCCGCTCTGGGTGTCTTCCTGCCTCGGGACACCCCTGATCCAGGGGCTATGTTATTGTGGAACTTTCAATTGATACTCATAAAAAAAGTATACTGACAATGAAATACATAACAATTATTCATTCCATTGCTTTTGAAGGAGTGTGAACTCAGCCACTCAAGATAATTTGTCCATAGTATTCTTTGTATATAGACGATGGTTATAAATATTTTCCTCTTGAATGGCTGATACACTAAAATCTCAGTTATCCGTTATTCAACAAATCAGAACTCTCATCTAACCATAAAAGAAAAATCCAGTGTGTACTCACTGTTTGCTGATCTGCAGCATGTATTATCCTGGAAACGATTATGTGTCTATTTGTCTTAATTTGCTTTTCATTACTTGATTTCAATATTAATATCAAGTCAATACAGAGTTTATGTTATGGTATAATATGGGGTATGGTATTAGTTAGACCTATTTTTATTAGTAACTCTCAAGCAACCAGAAACTACATTTATCCTTAATCTACCAATCCCAATGGATGCCGGATAACGGGGAGTTTACTGTACATAAGCTGGAGATATAGTGGTGCTTGGTCCTGATTTCTCTACGCGTTTCGTGCTTTGGCTTCCTCGGGAGAAGGAGGGTTCCCTAACATATTCAAAATAAAGTAATAAAGAAAGAATATAATGAAATACCAAAACTAGAAAGAAAATATCTTCAACAAAATCACACAAAAAATTACTTTTTCAAAACATTTTAGAACATGACAAGACTCTATCTTCCCTTTAACACTATGAAGTCCTAAGCTCGCCATGCCTTTGTTTCATCCAGGAGCGTTCCTCATCCCGTACTTCCTGACGCTGGTCTTTGCCGGGATCCCGCTGTTCTTCCTCGAGACGGCTCTGGGACAGTTCACATCTATCGGGGGTCTTGGGGTGTGGAAACTGGCTCCCATGTTTAAAGGTAATAACAAGCGGTCACTTTGAGGATACGTATCAAGCTGAAGTTTAATCTGCTTATGTTTTTCCTTCCTTGGTTCCTCCCCCCCCCCCCCTTTCCTCAGTAACATGGTAATGGAATAATTAAATAAAATCTTTCTGTTTGTATTGCATACCTAATTTTAGACCCAGTGACATCATCACTGAGTCTGTATGCTGCACTGGGTCTGTGTGCTGCAATGCCTGGCAGATCATGGCTGGTGGGAGAGGCCAGCAAGGTGCTGTACAAAGCATCCTAAAGACATTAAAGCACCCTGCCTCTGTACTCCTCTAAAGTACCTCTGATACAAGCAGTGGGCTGGCTCCTGAGAGGAGTTATGTAATTACCAAAATTACCGTGCAAATACTGAAGGAGGGCAGTGGCGTAACAATCACCATAGTAACCCAGGCGGCCGCTATGGGGCCCGGGGCACAGGGGAGCCCGGCCAGGACATCCCGGATGCCGTGCGGGCTACCTGGGTTGCTATGGCATCTCATTCAGGTGGCTATTACTGGCGGCTCTGAAGAGGAACGCTCCGCTGTTCAGATCACTGACAGTGATCTGTGCAGTGGTGCGTTCCTCTCCACAGCCGCTGCTGAGTCAGTGAGAGCCAGCTGCGGCGGTGGAGGAGGCTGGACCTGGCAGTGGAAGAGGAGGCGGGGCCCAAGGTCGGCAGCAGAGGAGGAGGCGGGGCCCAGTGACAGAGGAGGAGGCTGAGCGACCATGGAGAAAGAGGAGGCGAAAAGGTAAGGAGTGTGACCAGCCCACCTGAGACCCTGCCTAGCCCACCATGGAGAGTCTATGGTGGGCTCGGCAGGGTCATCCTCAGGTGGGCTGTGCGGGATCTCAAGTGGGCTCTGCCAAGTGTGTAACTAGAAATCACAGGGCCCCTTACAAAATTTTGCTATGGGGCCCTGTGATTTCTAGTTACGCCCCTGAAGGAGGGGCTTCAATTTTGTAATTTTTTCTACGATTGTCATTCCACATTTGTTTAATATGTAAATTCCAGATTTCTATACATAATAAGGCTGCATTCACATATAGCGGTTTTCACCGCAGAAGACCCTGCGGGATGAAAAACGAAAATATTTTTCAATATGTGCGGATGTCGCTTGTTTGCGGCTATTAAATGAAACTGTCACAGGTCGGCTCAGTAGATCGGGAAGTGAGCGAACACATACCGGCGCTCGCTCACCTCTCGATCCTGTCACGGTAGAGAGCCGTGACAGGGGAGGGTCTGGATTCCCTCCTCCCCGTTCCGATCCTCCAGTGCTGACTGGCGGAATGGACGGGGGAGGGTACAGCTGGCTCTGCCTGTAGATAGGCAGAGCCAGCTGTCCCTCACGCAGCTGGGCGGATCTCGACATAATTGTCAGGATCCGTTTCAGCTGCAGCGTCTCAGTATACCGCAAGCTGTAGCTCGCGGTATACTGAGCTTAGGGCGACGGGAGGGCGCTAGTTTGTGTCCTTCTGTTACCCTTAGGAGAACTATGGGGAAAAGCCCTAACACCATAGTTCTCCTTTAAATAGCAGCGAACGGGTGGATTCCACCGGATTGTCGCACTATTTTGGGGTTTCGTACTGCGTAGCCCCTGCATTGGTCTGAACAATGCACATTGAAGTGCATTGTATTCTCTGTTTAGAGTGGCTCCGCACGTATCCGTACAGCCAAATATGCGTGGACAGCCGCTCAGCTATGGATGGAGCCTAAGGTTCGTAGAAATAGAAAATACTAAAATAAGGCGGCCCATCCAGATAAAGTTTATTGACCAACTCATTTTGAGGGATCCGAGGGCCCTCTTCATCAGGACTTTGCAATGTTGGACCAGAAAAAAAGGTCTGAACAAAGGAATATTTGGGGAATCTGGGGGACAGAACAGTTTTTTGCTCACACCTTCCTTTCCCACAAACCTTGAGACATTACCTTGAGGGCCATGTCAGGGCCCATCAATAGTGCAAGCAAAAAAACTTGTCACATTGGAATACTCACTCACGCCTTTGTTCAGCATCCCGCTACTCCAGTTCTTTTATAGATCTATACATACAATAGTGCAGCCAGCATCTGTGTATGTATAGATCGTATCAGCTATGCGATAGGCAACCTGACCAGAATCAGGAGAACCCCTCCCTCAGGGCCGCCGAAAGGAAAGCAATAAGCATAAGGCATCAGTCTTAGGAAACATCAGGTTCCAGGTTTAGTGCAATTTGATTTTTTTGTCACTTCCTGTCCAGCGAAACGGCAGATAGATTCATTCTATGCCAGTTAACCATCTGTGGTGAGAATGGGGTAAAAACGAATGTTCTTAGTGTAATTTCTCTTCTGGTCGATTGTTCTTCAATATAGAACAGAGTGAAATGGGGAATTACCACATTGTGACCACTAGATGGAGCTGTTCTTTATTGAAGAACATTCACCCAAAAGAGAGATTACACTCAGAACAATCGTTTTTGCCCTATTCTCACAACAACTTGTTACTTCGCACAGAATAAATAAACAGGCAGTTTTCCTGAATATTTTCACAAACATACAACATTGTGTTATCTGTAGTATTATTACATGATAATATTATTGCTACAATGTTTCTCATTGTTCCTCATTATTAATCACTCGCTATACTGTGTCCTCATTCCAGGGGTCGGCATGGCCGCTGTGGTGCTGTCATTTTGGCTTAATATTTACTACATTGTGATCATTGCCTGGGCACTGTACTATCTCTTCAATTCCTTCTCCTCGGTAAGTGGAAATTCCATTATTATTTCTTATTAATACAGTAAACTCTCTGTTAACCGGTATTCAACTAACCAGAACTCTCATCTAACCGGCCAAAAAAAATAAAAATCCACTGTGCACTCACCGTTCTGCGACCTTGTAGGAGTGGGAGGGAGGGCTCTGCCGCATGGGAGGCTAGAGAGGGTAGAGAAGCAGGGCCGCAGAGTATGATTGCTGCTGTATTATCCTGGGAAGGAGTGTCTGTGAATGATCGTCTGTGAACAAGCGCCCCCTAGTGATCACTCCCAGTACTGTACTGTATTAAAGCACCTGTATTACAGCACTAAGACTAAGTGTGTCTTTTGTCTTAATTTGCTTTTGATTACTTTATTTCAATATCAAAATGAAGTAAATATAGAGTTTATGTTATGGTATGGTATAGTATGGGGAATAGCATTAGTTAAACCTTTTTTTTAGAGATGCCCCGAAATTTTTCTCGCCGAAACATTTCGCCCGAAGATGGCACTTTTGGCAAAATGCCGAAAGTGCCATGACGGCGGAAAATGCATCTGAAAAATCAGTGTAACAGTAGAAAGGCATCATGGCACACTCACAAACCAGCATGTAAAACAACTTGTCTCACCACTAAGGATAACAACAGAGGTTTGGATACACATCTTCTGCAGAGGATGTGAAAGCCGCACTGCCGCGCCAAGCCACCTCTTATAGTGCGGTCCTAACTCTAAACTATGAGAGTCTCCATCTTGGAGCACATGGGGGCAGAAGATTTCAAATTGGGTGCAGGTTTGTCAGGAGGAAGCCCGGCCTCCTTAAAAGCACAGAAACACACAAGGGATCCCGCACATGCCTTTCTACTGTTTTACTGTTCAAAGCCCATTTCGTGTGCACCTTACTGTATAACTGGTGACAAATTGTTGAGTGCGTTTGTCGTTTGTTTTGTTTTGTTTTGCTTGACAAATCAGTGTATCCCTAGCTTCTCTTTTCCCTGCTGGGTGCCAATCTGTGTACCTTCCAGAGCAGAGCTGGCGCCTTGCAGGGAGGAGAGAAGCTTTCAGAATGCCGAACGGTGCAGGTGGTGATCATTGCAGGAGGCTGAGCTCTCCTCTCGGCTTGGCCTCCTGTGTCAGGATGGAGATCAGTGCGGGGCGGTGACAGCTGTGATCTGTCGGTGGGGGAGGAGAGCTCTGCCTCCTGTGACAGATCACAGCGCTCTCCTACGCTCACCGCTCTCCATCCTGACATGATGGAAATGGAGCTGGGAGGTGTGGGAGGAGAGCTCCGCCTGAGTGGAGAGTGCTGCGATCTGTCACAGGAGGCGGAGCTCTCCTCCCCCACCGCCCACCCTCTTCCTGTGACAGCCGAATCAGAACATAGAGCGGTATATGAATGAATGGGAAGTGATCTATATAATTTCCTGTTCATTCATGATTGTGGACATAGTAAGTACACTTTATCCACAATGTATGAATGAACAGGAACACTCAGTATAGAGGATTCCTGTTCATTGATAACAGGGGCTGCAGAAAAAGAGATTGAGGACTCTGTGTCTTCAATCTCTTTTTCTATTTTTAAAGGGAAATATCAGGGGTCTGTTTAGACTCCCAATATTTCTCCAGAGTCCCTGACAATAAAGTAAAAGAAAATAAAAATAAAATAGTTGAAAAAAAAAAATTAAAAAGATTGGAAAAAAATGTTATTTTCGGTTTCGGCTTGACAATTTTTTTTATTTTCGATTTTGGTCTCAAAATTCCATTTCAGTGCATCCCTACTATTTTTAATAGTAACTCTCAAGCAACCAGAAACTACACTTAACTGGAATCTTCCAATCACTGTGGATGCCAGATGACGGGGAATTTACTGCATTCTGAATTATTGAGTATAGGTACGCAGAGTTGCAGTTCTGGATGGAGATGTCATTCTCAAGTCAGAGTACATTTCAGATGGTTTCCAAAAGTGCTGAAACTCACTGGAATCCTCCTGACTGCTGCTGGTGGATTGTTATTAGTGAGTGTCTGCACTTGTGTTTAATATCCCCAAGCTAGAGCTGAAGGGAGCGTTAGAGCAGTGTTTTTCAACCTTTTTTGTGCAAAGGCACACTTTTTTCATGAAAAAAATCACGAGGCACACCACCATTAGAAAATGTTAAAAAATTTTACCTCTGTGCCTATATTGACTATAAAGAACCTGTCACCAGCTAAACAAAAGTGCAGGCAAAAGAAAAGAAAACTCACCAATTTTACAGGTGGGCAGGTTTTCCTGTCCATAAATGACTTTTTATTGACTTGCAATGTGCCTTTGAACTTGCTAGAAAATGTGACTACTCCAGGAAGAGTCAGTTTCTTAGCACAGCCTCTTTGTACGTCATGGCCTTCTCCTGTTCTGGAAGTGTCCAATTACTGTCTGTGTTGGCCCAGCCTCTGCATTCCAGCCTTTCCCTCCCTTTTATGTAGCTACGGGGAGAGGAGCAAAGGGGAATACTATAGAACAGGGATAGGAAAACTCTGGCCCTCCAGCTATGGTGCAACTACAAATCCCATTAGGCATGGCAAGACCCTGACAGCCATAAGCATTACACCCAGAGGCAGGTGCATGATGGTATTTGTAGTTTCACTTTCACCACATCTGCAGGGCCAGAGTCTGCTGGAGCTGCTGACATCACATCCATGATGGCGACGCCCAGAAGCAGATTCAGGTGAATAACATGCAGAAAATACATTACATACACATGGAATCCTAGGGGAAGATTGTTGTTGAGAAGAATGGTCTTGTAAGAGGTTATACCGGCCCATCAACATAAACAAAAATGATGAACGCTGGGAAGGCTGGGGGCTCAGGTACAGTGAGTGATAGCATGAAACCTTACAGAAGCTTACCAAGTGGTTCCAGCAAGGGTTGGATACCTAGAAAGTTGGAATATGATCTTACAGGGAGGAGGTTTGGGGGCTCACAGAGGAGGACATTGTGTATTTGACTGGTTCCTCCCCTGCCCTCTGCAGACCCTGCCCTGGCAGAGCTGTGACAACAGCTGGAACACCGAACGATGTTTCTCCAACTACTCTCTGAACGACACCACCAACCTGACCAGCACCGTCACCGAGTTCTGGGAGTAAGTAGCACTTTATCCAATCGCTTACACCAGGTGAGGGAGTACTAAGAACTGCACACAGGAAGTCTTACTGAGCATGGCAAGTCTCACTGAAAATAATAGCAAGACACCAATGAAAGCACTTGTTGGGGAAGTGAGTTTCCCCTCACTTCCTGTCTTGGTGTTGTCATTCGCACACAGATAAAGATCTCTCAGGGGCTTTAATCTTCCCATACAGAGCTAAAAAAAAGTATTTTTATTGTAAGGTTACCAGATTTTCAAAATGAAATCCGGGGATTCACCATGCCCACTTTTAACCACACCCACAAAACGTCCTCCCCCCCCCCCATTTTAAATGTCCTCTAACAGTGACAAACTTTGAGAACAAGAAGCAGAGATTTAAGATATAAAGATAAAATAAACAGATTATAAGTAAGAGGCATAAAGATATGCATGCATAGTTAGAAGGGATGCCTTGAGGGTGTCAGTAACAAGGCATACATAAGACCAGCAGAGTGCAGTGCCTTTTTTAACCCCTTCATGACTGAGGCCCTTTTTTCATTTTTTGCACCCATGTTATATTCCACACTTGCAAGGCCCTATTGAAAAGTAATGAGGGGTTTAAGGAAATCTTTGAAAACTATAATAATTCAAATGTCACAGGAAAAAAATATAAACATATCTGACATTTTTAGCTTTAGTGAAAAAATTGGCATTTACTTTCATCCATAGTGCAGGGGTAAGGAGTACATGATACAGAGTTCAAAGGTCAGTATGTAACACAGAATGCAGAAGTCAGTAGTAAGTAATGCAGTAGAGTTCAGAGATCGCTAGTATGTATCACAGAGTACAGGGGTCAGTTGTATGTAACACAGAATTCAGAAGTCAATAGTAAGTAACACAGAGCTCAGAGGTTAATATAGTAGATAACACTACAACGGGAGATGGTTAGAGACTGCAAACATCCTGTACAACGGGAGATGGTCAGAGACTGCTGACTTACAATGCTACAGGATATGGTCAGAGACTGCAGACTTACTATGCTACAAGAGATGGTCAGAGACTGCAGACATACTACAGGAGATGGTCAGAGACTGCAGACATACTACATGAGATGGTCAGAGACTGCAGACGTGCTGTACAAGGAGATGAGAGCTTTGGCAATGGGAAGTTAATATTCTTAAACATAGAGATACATTCTTTTTTTGCCATACAGGAGGAACATGCATCAGATCACAGGCGGTCTGGGCGAGCCAGGAACTGTCCGCTGGCCATTGGCGTGCACACTGGCGCTCTCCTGGGTCATGGTGTACTTCTCCATCTGGAAGGGAGTGGAGTGGACTGGCAAGGTACAGTACAGGGGGGACAATGTCTGAAATTGTCTGGTTTATATAAAGATAACCTGTCTGAATAGAAATACCAGAAAGGCCACGGCTGATCTGTCGGTACAGCTGAACTCCGTCCTTTCCTTCAGTCTTGCAGAGTTGTATCGGCTCCTCTCCTGGACCGAAATTGTTTACTCTGATATCACTGCGCACTGTAAGCTTCTCATCATGTGCATTAGATGCTGCAGCAAGTCAGATAGAGCTCACCTCATGTCCTGGCTGGAGGATGTCCAGCATCATCTAGCACTTTCCTCCCCAGCCTGACTGTCCCTGGCCTACCCCAATGAGGTGGGCTCAACCTGACTTTCTGCAGTTTCTAATGGGAGCAGCTCACAGTGTACAGTGAAATCAGGGTGAGCATTTTTAGTACAGGAGAGGAGCTTGTACTGCTTATCAAGCTGAAGTTCTGACGTCTCCAGTGTTATCAGTACATTTTCTGTTCCGCTCCGCAGGTGGTCTACTTCTCTGCTACCTACCCTTACTTCATGCTGGTGATACTGTTTTTCCGAGGGATCACCCTTCCCGGGGCCGTGGACGGCATCCGTTTCTACATCACACCCGACTTCAGCAAACTCTCCAACTCAGAGGTGCCTTATAGTCGTAGTAGTTATACCCATGAACCCTCCAATACGGCTTTCCTTCTCTTGGCGTTTATTTTCTAGGCATGCAAAATGAAAACCCGGTTTTGTTCTATGAGAAAAAAAATGTGCAGGTTTTTTTAGAAGCCCCGTTAAGTTGTTTTTACTGTCTGTGTCTATGTGGAGAGATTTCCTCTCACCTCCTGTCCTGGAAACACAACAGGACATGAGAAGAAATCTCTCCGATGTGAGGGGAAATCCACTGTTAGTTGTTACTGAAACAGATGTCCCCAGTGGAACATTTCCCTTCACCTCCTGTCTTGGAAACGCAACAGGAAGCGAAAAGAAATCCTCACACGAGTAGGGAAATCCTCTGTAAGTTATTACTGAAATAGGTGTCCCCACTTGAACATTTCCCTTCACCTCCTAACTTGGAAACACAACAGGACATGAGAAGAAATATCTCCGACGTGAGGGGAAACCCTGTTAGTTATTACCAAAACAGAAGTCCCCAATGGAAGATTCCCCTTCAGCTCCTTTCTTGTAGACAACAGGAAGTGAGAAGAAATCTCTCTACAACGTGAGGGGAAATTCTCTGTTAGCTGCTACTGAAAAAGATGTCCCCAGTGGAAGATTTCCCTTCACCTCCTGACTTGGAAACGCAACAGAAAGTGAAAAGAAATCCTCCAATGAGCGGGGAAATCCTCCGTTATTACTGAAATAGGTGTCCCTAGTTGAAGATTTCCCTTCACCTCCTGTTTTGGAAACAAAAGGAAGTGAGAAGAAATCTCTCCAATGTACAGGAGGAATCCTCTGTAAAGCTGGCCATCCCCCTATAGATTATCTGCAGATTAGCTATAGTCAGATGGAAAAAGTGCAACAGATTCCTCCATCTACACTAAACTGTGTGGATGAAGGAATTTTCCACTGGGCCAGGCTTCAGTATCTTGCTAGTCGGCCCCTCTGGCTCTCACAATACCTGAACAATGCCTACATCCAATCAGAGTGTTCAGGTGTTTTGACAGCCAGTGCAGCCGACTAGCAAGATACTGAAGCTTGGCCCAGTGGGAGATTCCTCCATCCACACAGTTTAGCGTAGATGGAGGAATCCGTTGCACTTTTTCCACCTGACCATAGAAACTCTGCAGAAAATCTATAGGTGTGTGGCCAGCTTAAGTTATTACTGAAACAGGTGTCGCCATTTAAACATTTCCCTTCACCTACTGTCTTGGAAACACAACAGGAAGTGAGAAGAAATGTATTCAATGTGAGGGGAAATCTTCGATTAGTTGTCACTGAAACAGTTGTCCCTATTGGAAGATTTCCCTTCACCCCCTGCTTTGATGACATCTGTACAATTTACCATCTCAATGACAGTGGTCACCAGGACAAGTATAGAAGGTGAATCTCCTCCATAGGAACACAGCAATAAAAACTAAAGCTATACAGGAAAACCAAAACGGTTTGGGATCTGTGTCCCCTTCTTCAGGGCCACAAATAAACATATTTTTATAATCTATTGTCAATCTATCTACGATAGATGTTTATTTGTTGCTGTTGAGTTGTGTTAACTGTGTCTGTACCCCAATGGTCTGTTAGGATAAAATGTTTATTGCTAGCCAATATAAAGGGAACTCAGAAGTGTTGGTATCCTGGAGGATTCATGACCCTCTTGCCATTGCACCGGGTATAAAGTGAGCGATTAGTAGAGTAAATCGAGAAGCAGGCTACCATACTGGCAACTTTCTATCAATTTCAGGCACTTTCAACCTTCAACATGATTGAATGGATCAAAGTGGTGCATGGACATCATATAAAAAGTTGCCTGTCTCGGTCCGTCCCCTCATTATTATTTCTGTGATGGAATGTTGGGTGAGAGTGGCTGATATTGCTAGAAAAGTGCACAGTGTATAGGCAGCATAAGAATTGATCAGGAAAATTAGGAACGTATTACCATCAACATGCAGTCTCTTTTATAGGTCTGGATGGACGCGGCCACTCAGATCTTCTTCTCCTATGGCCTCGGTCTGGGATCTCTGATTGCTCTGGGAAGTTACAACTCCTTCAATAACAACGTCTACAGGTACGCACAGGATGTATGTGCTTGTCCAATGTGTGCTGCCATGGCTGATCTCCCTCTGAAAATGCTAGGTGACTCTCTGACTTCAGTGCTTTCTGAATTGCTTCCTGGAACAACCATGCAGATAACAAAGTCAAAGGAAGGTCACAACTCCTGAACTTGTTCCATGGCAGTGACTCCAAGAAGCTGATTTATAAAATGTTTGCCTAGCATATAGCTTTGTGAATGACGTTCACAGGGCATTACTGTCACTAGATTGAGCAGAGAACATGTAAGTGACTCCAAGGGGAGCATTCATATATCGTGCTAAAGGAATACGAATAAAGATTCAATTCTGAAGCAGAATGATATATAAAGCGTTTGCTTAGCGTATAGCTCGGTGAATGCCATTTGCAGGCCATTACTGTCACTAGATGGAGCTGAGGTGCACGGGAATTTCACAATACTCGTTACATGTCATTGACTCCAATGGGCTGATTTTAAAGCATAATATCCCCTTTGCACACTGTACCCCAGAATTCAATGGGTGCTGGAACAACAGGCGGATGGCACCACAGTATACAATCTAGAACATATGTTGTCCGCACACTATTCTGCTTCGGAATATCATCTTTATTCATATTCTTTTAGCATGTCATATGGATACATCCATATGTCATGCTAAAGGAATACGAATAAGGATGATATTGAGAAGCAGAATGATTTATAAAGCGTTTGCCTAGCATATATCTAGGTGAATGCCATTTGCAGGCCATTACAGCCACTAGATGGAGCTGAGGAGCACGGGAAGTTCCCATACTTATTACATGTCATTGTCTCCAAGGGGCTGATTTATAAAGCATTCACCTAGCATATAGCTGGGTGAGTGCTGTTTCCAGGCCATTACTGCCACTAGATGAAGCCAAGGACCATTGGATTTCCTATGCTCACCTGCCCCATCTAAAGGCAGTAATATTGTGCAAACTTTGTTTACCCAGCTATACGCTGGACAAAAGCTTTAAAAATCAGTCCCCAAGTATTGAACCTATTGGATCATCAGAGAAGCCAGACAACAAGCATTTTTAAAAGGTGACTTCAGCAATGGCAGCCTCCAGAATTTCCCAGTACAGGTTTTCTTTAGCGCTAGGTGCATTCAGGTTGCATATGAGATGTTTGAGATGCTATGAGTTCTCTTAGATGTGTTCTTCTCTCTTCCACAGAGATTCCATCATTGTCTGCGGCATTAATTCTTTCACCAGCATGTTTGCCGGTGTCGTCATTTTCTCCATCGTTGGCTTCATGTCGCACATCACCAAAAGACCCATCCAGGAGTTGGCAGCTTCCGGTAAGTGCTTCTAAATCTGGTGCTGTCTAGCAAACTTCCTTAGATTTTCAAAGCCTTTAGCTAAATGTATCAAACCCAGATAGTTTTGACATGGATGATGGAACAAGCATGTGAATAGTACAGTCGGAGTGAATTCAGAACTTCTGATTGGCATACATGTTTCAGATCAGTACATCCCTTGGATCAACAGTAACAGTCAAGAAATTAGCATTTTCAAAAGGAGAGTTCAGCAATGACACCTTACATATATTGTTAGCATAGATTTCCTTTAATTACAGTAAAATTAAAGGAGAACTATGAGGTGAGTGCTTCTCACTCACCTCATAGTTCTAGCCGACTTGTGACAATGACACTGTCACAGGTCGGCTCAGTAGATCGGGAGGTGAGCGAACATATACCGGCGCGGTATACTGAGCTTAGGGTAACGGGAGGACCCTCCTTTAAGTGTTTTTTTAAAATATTTTATTATATTGAGGGCTCAAAAATACATTTTAAATGGTAAATATGAAACATTGTATAGAATTATCGCATTGCCACATTTTCAGGGAGCAGGTGGCACTCCAGGCTCCTGTTCATGTTTATCTGTCTATTCTTAGCTGCTCTGTTGTTTGCAGAAATTTACACACCAAGCTAAACAAGTCAGAGTAATGACCCTCTCTGCCAGTTCAGATGCATCATATGGGGTTTCAGTAGGATAGAGAACATCTGATGGTAAACAGCTTCTGCTCTGTTCTCTCCTGTAGATCCTGTGCAGTGGGTTCTCACTGTATTTGTGGCATGTAGTAAAACAAAATATACATTCAGTTTAAAAACAATATTTTAAAGAGAAGTTTTGGTTATAATTTGGGTTATTTTGTTAATGTGCTCAAAATGTCAGTTTTTCATGAATTAAAACGGAACTCTAGGCAGATATACAAGACACAAATGAATGCAGCTCTGTAATTACCTGCATTTAACCTGATATCAGCCATTTGCAATCCCTGTATAGCACAGCTAGAGTGGCAGAGGAAGAAGTAGTCAGTCCATGTGCTAGCAAGGAGCATGCTGACAGGAGGAGAATGCAGAGTGACAGAGAGAAGAGCTCATCACTGTGCTGCTTCTCCTATCACTGTCCAGTCACAGGCTGGGGGCGGTTCTAGGATGACCTGGGCTAGAGGAAGTGGGTTGAATGATGCTGGTAATCAGACTGAAGACATCTAGTGACCTAAAAAGGTAGTGTGGAGGAAATCTTTGTTTTCAAAGTAGAAGCTAATTTTGTTATTTTATCTGTTAATGGGCTATCTATTTTACCTTGTTATCTTTGGCTGGCATTCTGCTCTAATTTTGCGTTTTTGCCTGCTGGTTACAGGGCCGGGGCTCGCCTTCCTGGCCTATCCACAGGCTGTCACTCAGCTCCCTATGTCTCCCATCTGGTCAATCCTCTTCTTCTCCATGCTGGTCATGTTGGGATTGGACAGTCAGGTAAGAAGCTTTCTGGCCATGAATGGCTGCCTTCGTCCCTGGCGGTACACAGCCACTTCCCTGAATGTGATCTTGAAGATTTATGTGGCACTAACAACCATAATTTTCAATACATGGTGGATGCCAGTGCAAGCTTAATGCACAAAGGGGGTAACACATGGTTGGTTGGTTAGTGTGTAATTGCAGCCAAAACCTTTTTTTCTTCTTAAAGTTCTGCACGGTGGAAGGTTTTATCACCGCCCTGGTAGACGAATATCCGCAACTTCTGAGGAGCAGGAAAAAGATCTTCATTGCTGTCGTCTGCGTCATTTCCTTCATTATCGGCCTCTCTAACATTACCCAGGTAAACATTACGCAGGATCTGACCGAAAACCAGAGATAAGGGTGATTTATTTTGTTTTAATTAGCATGACATGGGCGCCACTTGAAGGGGGGGCGCTGCTCAGTGTGTCAGCAAAAGTTCACCCACCCACGGAGACATCTGACTTAGGAATTAGGGATGCTGTGGCTGGCATCCTGCCCAGCTCCAGGCAACCAGTGACATTGCGTGATGCAGCCAGAGCCTCGCAGATTGCTAATGGCTGTATATGACCCTTACATATCTCCTCGCCCAAGTTTTAGCAACCAGAGCAGGCGGGGAGATGTGTATGCTGGTGGGATGCTCTGGCTGGCATCCCACCCAGCTCCTGGCAACCAGTGACGTCACTGGTTGCCAGGAGCTGGGCGGGATGCCAGGGATGCAATTTTTTCATCTGGTCTCAACTGTTACATGAAAATAGACTTAGATCTAAGGAATGGAAGGAAATGAGAGCACAGAATGCTTATGGAATGAGAAAACCTGCCCATCTCATTGCATATATAATGATGTAAACTCTGCCTCCCTTCCAGGGTGGAATCTACGTGTTCAAACTGTTTGACTATTACTCGGCCAGCGGAATGTGTCTACTCTTCCTGGTTTTCTTTGAAACAGTGTCCATATCATGGTGTTATGGTGAGACCTTGTCAATGTCCCCAGTAAGAACGGGGCTGGGGCAATATTAAACTGTATCTCTGGGTAAAACCAATAATGATATAAATGCTGGAGCCCATCACCAGCTTAACACAACAGTTTTTTGTATGTCCTCCCTGTAACATTGTTGATCTTGCCATTAGGTCCATTATTTTTCAACTTCCTATAATGGGCCAAGCTGTCCAGCCAAAGTGACAGTTACAGAGGTTGGGCCAAACCATATAACACTGTAGGGGGTGCTTACAACCATCAGCTTTTAATCAAGTGGCTTAAAGCTTTTCTCCTAAAGAAAAAAACACTGTTGCTGTAACTGCATAAGAATCTTAGCTGGAATTGGACTTTAATTTACTGGTCTTTTACTGAAACCAGAATTAAACCACAAATACTCTCCTGTCATCATATAAAATGTACAATTATGGACCTGTCGACCTAAACATGCATCTACATTTGTATACATATTCATCCTCCATGCTGTAAGGGGTTTATTTAAAAAAAATTGCAGAGCCATTCGTATGTACTTTCATTCTGTGTGAATGGAAGCAAAAAAATGAATGTTATTAGCATAGTTTATTATAGGCCCAGGTACTGATCATGTGACCCAGCTTTAGGCCTATCCTGGAATCAGTGTTACCGTATAAGAAGCCAATATTTTCAGCTTATACACTTAGTTGTGTATTTATAAAAAAAAAAATTGCAGAGCCATTCATCCTGCATAACTGCATGTACATTTGACCTGTGCGAATGGAGGTAACAATTCATGTTATTGATAAATTTTCTTTCCAAGTTGAATGTAATATCAGGAAAATACCTCATTATGGTCACAAGTGGGACCTGATGAGAAGTATTTATTTCCTATGATCCACAGCTCCATCTAGTGACCATAATAGTAATTAGTTATGTCACTAGCTCTGTTGAATGACTTTGGTGAAAGAATGATGCTAGCAATGTAAGTTGAGAGATAAATCCACCACTACTCGAGGAACCCCTAGAACCCCTAGTAACCTCTAGAGGAACCCTGGATGAAGAAGTCGAGGGTTGTGGTACTGCGGAATGGGCATTATGGGTAAAGGAAAGGCGGAGAGCTTGTGCGAGTGTTATGACTAGCCATGTGGCATTCAGTCTTGCACTTTCCTGTGCTGCAGGTGTTGACCGCTTCTACCAGGACATTGAAGAAATGATCGGGTACCAGCCTTGCTCATGGTGGAAACTCTGCTGGGCTTATTTCACCCCCTTTGTCTGTCTGGTAAGGATCACACTTAACCTGTTTTCATGCAATTACGATGGCCACCACTTCCCCAGAAGTCATGATTGTTCCTGCGTGGACAGTTCTTTCCTCTATTACCATTCATTGTGCTCTGTTTCTGCCTAAGGCTGCCCATACAGGGCAATATTTTCCATAAGATACAATGAGAGCTCTAAGGTCTTTGCATTAGCTGGACTGTAAGGCGTCTAAACAACAGAAGCTACAGATGAGCAAACTGGTGGCTTTTCAGTGACATTACTAACTACCGTGGCAGTTGTCCACGACGTGTCTTTATTTATATGTAAAGCCATATGATCACCAAAACAATACCTGTATGATACTCACATGGCTTTGTTACAAAAAACATGTGATTATTTTTCTTAAGCCAATTTCAGTTAAGCAGTGTCGAATGGTGACATTTAAGTCCAAATTGGTAATTTAATGGGAAGCTCACTCTTCTTATCTCTAGTGTTTTTGTCATGTCATCAATAACTGCCCATACTTAGACTTACTCTATTGTTCATGTAAGAATGTGGTATAAGAGCTGGTTCACACCAGCTCGGTTGGCCTTTGTTGGGCAATTTTGCCCAGCTCTGTCCCAACCCAAAGACAAGGCAAAAGGCCTCACTTTGTATAGGCCCTGCAGGCATCATTTTATTGCAACACATTACAATGCGCTGCAACATTGTAAAGGTGCTACACTGTAGAAGGCTAAGTGGCTGTGTACAAACATTTGCGCTGCAAATATCTTTTAGACAATAATCATCGTGCGCCATTAAGGATTTATTACATCAATACTTTTTTTTTTAAAAACAGTCATCTGCCAAAAATGAATTTTCAGCCAGTTCATCGCATATCTCCCACTGTTATCAGTCATCAGCAAGTACTTTGTGCCCAGAATGCTAAGAGTGTTTCTTACATTCATTGAATCTTGAATCATAGAAACACCTCATGTGTGGGCAGCCTTAGCATCAAGAGTGACGCACCATTTGTTTGTAGATAGTTCACTCGGCGGTCGGAACCCTGCTTCCATACAGATATAACAGCACTGAGAAGCCAAAAATCACATCCTGTGCTGTCAGACTTCCTGTGTTACGTTGGACAGCACAGGATGTGATTTTTGGCTTTTCAGTGCTGTTATATCTGTATAGAAGCAGGGTTCCGACCTCCGATTGAACTATCTACATACTTAGCAAATGGTGCCTCACTCTTGATGCTAAGGCTGCCCACACATGAGGTGTTTCTATGATTCAGGAAGTATACCCCCAGTGACCATGTGAGGTCCTCCTAGAATTTACAGTACATGCAGTGCAGTACATTTCTGAGAACCCTGATTAAAATAAATTGACTGATCTTCCTGATTTTGGCACTGTTGCAGTGTTTCTTGGATAGCGTTAGCTGTTTGGTTTCACCTATTGTCTAGAATTGCTGTCCAATTGCTCATACATTTTTTTTATCTTAGCAATATATTTACTAAAATCATTTTAACTTTATAAAACTGATTTTTTTTAAATTTTCCTAACTATTCTTGTGTATCCTATCACCACGCAGGGCGTCTTCATTTTCAGCGCTGTGGAGATGACGCCCCTCACCCTGGGGCGATACGTGTACCCTTCATGGGGCCAGGGCATTGGCTGGCTCATGGCTCTGTCGTCCATGGTACTGATACCCAGTTATATGTTGTACCTGTTTCTCACCTCCTCCGGCACCTTCAGCCAGGTAAAGATGATCACTCACACCTTTCATTAACCTTGTTATCTGCAGTACCACTTAGCTAACAATTTCCTGCAATTAGATGTCAGGTAAAACGTGTTACCTATACGACTTCAAGACACATGTATACATTATCTGCCTAGCTCCTCCGAACACTGAAGAAGTTCCTGCAAACATGAAAGGAAGCTCCTTCCAATGCCCCCCAATCAGTTGTAATGGTGGAATTCCCAGTCCGCAGCTGCATGTAAGCAATGGGGCAGAATTCAATGACGTCATTGGTCTTATATGGCCACATGGCTATATTTGGTCAATGACATTTACCTAATATGGCCATGTGGTCATTAAAGCTCAATGTCATCAGCACAAGCTTCCCACCCCTTTGTTTATGATCAACTGTGGGCTGGGGTATGCCCCTATCTGCAGCTAATTGAGCAAGTGGTCCCATGGCACATCCAGGTTCAGAGGAGCTCAGCTTCAGACTGGTTTCAGTCCGAACCTGAGCTTATGCCTAATGACAAGCTAAGAAATTGTCACAAAATTCAGCATTCTTCCTCTCTACTGCACTAATGTTTGCCATTAACTATACAGTATAAATAGCATACAGTAGATTGGGTCTGTAGAGTGCTAAGATGTAGTATTCTGTGAACCCTTAGAAGTTGAAGGACAGGAGAGCAAAACACAAGAGGTCAAGATTTTTCAAGTTTTAAGAGGTCAAGTGTTATCATTTTCTGTGCTTTCATTTACTCAAATATCCCAGAAACAAATTCCAACACGTTTTGGGGGTTTAAAAATGTCCAATACTTCAGGGCTTAGGTAGAGCACACCAGCTGCGGGACTGCATAACTTTTCAACAGTTGTTTCCATTGACCATTGTCAGCTGTTTCCATCCCAAAAGTTACCAACAAAAGGGGGTATTTAAGCCCCAGAAATGCATTGGCATGTTTTTTTCTTGGACTTCAAAAGCAAATAAAAGTTTTTAAAAAATATAACACTTTGACTTCTTGTGTTTGGGGATTCTACACCTCTACCTCTTCAGATTCACAGAGATCTTCCTTATTGGAGGTCATTATGATTTTGTGACCAGCCCAAATTGAAAACTAGGAACTCCCCACAAGTCAATCAAGTAGAAACATAATCTCTCCAGCCATTACTATATAGAGTGTAATATTTTGTGAGATCAGCCCTGATAATTTTGTGCTATTTTTCCTGCTGGTGATAAGTCCGCCAATTGTGTGCATGTTACTTACAAGGCATCTAGTCACAAATCTCATGTTTCTCCACCCAGCGCCTCCGTGAAATGACGCAGCCACAGATGGAGCGAGTGATGCTGAAAAACGGTCTGCGTCCCAGGATCAGCCTGGATGGAACCTCCAGAGACATCCCAGGAGTGTGATTTTTGGACCCTCATTGTACACTGCGCCCCTCACATATGCTTCCCATTGGATTCCACACTCACCGTTCCTTTCCGTTAGTTTTAGGACCCAACAGGAAGACCACTGCTTAGTCACCGTGACAGATAAAATCCTGAGTCGTGTTAAGATATGACCTACCTGAGTGCCTTACAGTATCACCCTCTAAACGGAACATTTTAGGACTTTTTCTGTAATTTAAACACTAAATAAAATGAGGATACAGGTTCTGTACTTCTAGACTCTTTTTTCACTGGGTAAAGTCTGTCTGGCCAAAAAAAAATTTTAAAAAGAAAACTATTTAGCACATTTCTGGAATACATGCACATTTCCCCATGTGTTATCCCCTTAAAAATGTCACAACCCATAACCCTAAACCTTAGTCCAGAAAAATATCTGTTGATCTGCCAAAAATTTAGTGAGCTCCTAATTTCCTGTTTGGCCTGATACCAAAGTGTCCCTGCTGGAATGAATTCCAAAAGAGGTTTCCACCGCGCTCCTTACTGGTATGTCCCTTTAAAGTGGGTGCTGCAGTGATAGTGGATGGCGCCACTTAAAATCCAAAGTAAAATTTTTTCAACGAGTGGTCATTTTATTGATGTACCCACATCTCGTCATAAAGCAACGTTTCGGGGCCACTCAGGGTCCCTTCATCAGGCAGGGTCCCTTCATTTTTTACTTTGATTTGCTGGTGATATACTTAACTAAGTGCTGGAATGAAATCCCAAGCAGCATTGTCAGCCCTGCCTACTGGACTATAGAACTCTGCCTATCCTCACCCCTCTCTTTCCCTCTCCACATGTAGATTGATTTATTTTCCAGCTAAACAGTGCTTCTGTCTTAATACATAAGAGCCTGCTCATATGCTGCGTGTAGGAAAAGGGCTCTTGGGAGTTGTAGTTTTGGGGCGTGTCCCTTCTTTAATAGGAACTGACCTCCCAGCAGCTACCCCTAAATAATTTTACAAGCCTGATGATGATGTCATTAAAGCTGTTTCTTGCTACAAGAACAAAGTAAAACAAAGAGAATGAAGCTGAGACATGATCTATAGGGGGAAAGGAGTGGGTTGGATAAGGATTCTAGGGAGATGTAGTTCTGGGGTGTGTCTACATCATTTGGAACTTATCTCCCAGCAGATGCCCATACAAGAGTTTTACAAGCCTGGTGATGATGTCATTAAAGCTGTTTCTTTATACCAGAATTGGGTAAAAGAAAAATAATAAAGCTGGGACATAATCTAGAGGGGGAATGGGCAGATTGGGGTTGTATCTGGGTAATGGCTGGGCTGGACATACGCTTTAAATATCATAAAGTGCTAGAATGGATATAAGTATTTATCTGCTTTTCCAACCATGGAGCCATCTTTGTTCAGGCATCACCCAGGGTCACCATCAGCTCAGAGATGGCACAATCATATAAATCCTGGTGCCTGTGAAGTTTTTGGTTCTGACCACAAATGTCTGGCACAGAGCGGCCCCTGATGTAGCCTCTCACCTTGTGACTTACCAAGGGACAACATACAGTCTGATCCCTGGGGAAGAGGAGACTGAGGAAATGCTTCCTCCAGCCTGCAGCTGACTGATGGCATTGTCTCAGCCTTGGCAACGTCACTGGATGGCTTTTAAATGATAACAGGTGATTCAACTGTGAAAGTGACAATCTTGCTGTATATTGTGACAAGCCAGGAATGTGAGAAGTGACAAGCCAGACCTGTGAAGTTACAGAATGGCTCACTTTAAGCCCTATTTAAATAGTGAGGAGCTCCATCTTCTCTGAGGTGAGATTGTAGCAGAATTTGGTCCCATTTACAGTGATATCCTAAAGGTGCCGAAGGACCCGATCCTTTCACCCCAAACTATGCTGCCACTACCACTATGTGAGGCAACCAACAATGGGGCACACAGGGCTAGAGAAGGCCCTTTATTGCAGAAAAAGGCGGTAGCAGTGGTGAAGGTTTTAGTGTGTTTTGTAAAGTGGAACTTTTTTTACCATTATATAGTGTAATAAAGGGTCAGAGCCTCTGTCAGGTTATTCCTTTTTTTTTTCTTTTCAGTTTTGGCTGAAGTTTCATTCATGACACATTCAAAATTCATGACAAACTTCATCACAGCCCCACCTTGTGAGGGGAATTTACTAAGACTGGAGCATGGCAACCAATCAGCTTCTATCTTCAGCTTGTTTACTTAAGCTTTAAAAATACAAGCTAGAAACTAATTGGTTGCCATGCACAGCTGCTCCAGAGTCTGTAAATCCCACCAATTGTTTTTTTTCCTGTACCCCCCCCAAATGATCAAAACAGACAAGAGACTCAATAAACAGAGGCAACATCATCTCATATAATATCTAGATTTCTATAGAACAGATAAAATATTCACTTTTTTTTCAATTACAAAATATTACAGGTGTCTGGGTGCATCATCAAATGTCCACACAGTCCGCCCGGACCACCCCTTCTCCACCCCCAGTGCTGTTGGGGGGCAGTTATCGGTTGTTATGTTAATATGAAACAGGCAATGACTTGCTTTTACCCACTGAGCCTCCTGTCTACTGTGTGTGCAACCATTCCCTAGAACTCTTTTCACTGCAGGTAAAGAACCGGAAAACAGGAAGAAGGTTATGTGTATAATACTTGATTGCAGTGTGCTTTCATATACACTTGTGGAGAGGGTGACTCGGAAAAGGAACTGTGTATAGCAAAGGTTACACGTCTATAGCTCATCAGCCGCGGTGGAACTGACTGCCCTGGGAAATGGTTATTGTGGTTTTAACACAACTGATAGGCGGGAGGTTAACAAAGATTGGTGTATTTAGTGCTAATTTGCCTACATTTGAATCAGAATTTATTTTATGCATTGTATTATTCTAACATCAAATCCACTGGAAAGGAAAAAAAGTGTGTGCTAATAAATACTGCATTGTAGAAGCAAACTTCAAGCAATTTCATATTTAAATAAAGGAAAACATAAATATATCCAAGACTAAAGCTATAATAATTTGGCGATGCTGTTTTGGGGGTGATAGTTTGCAATGAATTCACTTGTGCTTTGTATTGATAAACTTGGTAGATGCATGTGTTCTAGAATATTTGTGTATATGTGGGCAAAATAAAAGAAAAGATTAGAACATCTCAGCAATACATGCATATTTCTCCATGTTCTGTCGCTTGAAAAATGCTGCAAATACAGAAAAATAACTGCTGACCCTTCTAAGAATCCAGTGAGCTCCTAACTTCCTGCAGTGAGATGACAGCACAGGGCCTCTGGTGCCCTGAAATTCCAAGCAGTCAGCCCTGCGCAGTTCTCACAAAACATGAGGGGAGTTAGCATGGAAGTACTGGGTAGGCCCCACAACTGCGCTTGAGACTTTAGTGCAGGAGAGGCAGAGTTGTCACTAAGGAAGTAAGGAGCTTGCTGGATTTCTAGAAGGATCAACAAGAATTGACTAGCAATTGGCGCTTACTGAACTGCGAGGCCCCAATTACAATTGCATTGTACAGTTCAGTAGTGTGGTACCTAACAAATGCAGAAGCGAGTCAATAGGTTCCTTATACTTTTTTAAACAAGGGTTGGGGTAGCCAATTAGCAGGCCTTCAACATGGTCTTTTTTTTACACCTGCGTGTCTGTATACATCGGGAATGTGGATGAATCCAAGAAGTGGCATGTCTTTGAGGTAATCAATCTTTTACAAGTAGGCCCAACAGTCTGACTGTTGAGCCAACCATATTCAGTAAAACATTTTATTGTAAAAAAAATAAAAATAAATAAAAAGACATTGAATGCCTAGGCCAAAAGTTCAAATCCTGACTGTAATCCTGACTTCCCCCTCCCTTTTAGATTGCAAGCCCTCAGGGGCAGGGCCCTCCTTACCATCTTGTCTTGAATTGTATTGTGATTGTAATGTCTTCCTTATATTGTAAAGCGCTGCGCAAACTGTTGGTGCTATATAAATCCTGTATAATAATAATAATAATAATGAATCGCTTCCAGAAGCAATTATTTGGAATTAGACAGATTTTGGCATGGTCAAAGTTCTCTGCCGTTGATGCTATTTCTGGGGCTTCTGTTAGTTGTATATCTAAACTGATTTATACATTTTCTGATATTCTGATGGGATTTCGATTTGTTGTTGCTCTGCTTCAGATCTTGGAACAGTATAAGCAAGCATCATGTATAATATACATGATAACAGGAAACCATACCAAAGAGCATTATGGGCAATCGTCAATGGGACTAAGGAGCCAAGAAAAAAAAAGGATGTGCACTTTATGTCAGTAAACCTAAAATACAAGTTACTATTAAAAATAACTGCTAATGCTTACAAACACGGATTTACCAGTTCACTCCTACCCTCCTGAAACCTTTGAGATGCTGGCCTCCTCACTCTTTGACCTCCAGCTAGTGGAGATTTGCTGTTTAAATGATTGGCATGGGGTGAGAGTCCATTATATCACACAGCTAGAAATTGTTATTTACCCAATAAGAAAGCATATTGGTCCCTTAATAAGGTACATTTGTTAAAATTACAAACAGAAACAGGATTCAGTTAAATAGGTATTCACCATGGGCTTTCTGACTTTCTGAATGGAGGTCTGAGAGTGAAGCTCAAGTGAACAAAGGCTAAACTGCTGATAAGGGCACAAATGAGAAATATAATATTATTATTTAATATTGTACCTTTTTCCCCTTAGTGCAGCTGCTACTAGGCAAGAAGAGGAAGAGAGCCCCCCTTCCCCAGTGCTCTACCTACTAGGGTGAACAGCTAGTCAGTGTATTTATGAGTACATCAGCAGAAATGGTAAGATTGCATCATGGCAGAAACTTTGCACTTTTAATTTTACTTTTGTTTTTAATGTGTTTTGTCTTCCTGTTAAACAAAGTTAAAATAATTAGGCTCACGAGGGCTGTTTTTTGCCATTAGACTAGGTCCACAATAGTTAAAAGGAACCTCCATGAAACCCAGGAGCCAATTAAAGCCCTTTGCAGTCTTAAAAAAAGCTAAAAAGACAAAATATATTTCAATCTTCCTCATTGACTCCAATGCATTTTGCCAAAAAGGGAAAGTTTTGCTAAAATCTCCCGGTTTTGGCCAGAATTTTAGGGAGATGAAAACTCTCAATTTTGCTCATCCCTATGCAGCATCTTTTCACTTAAAGGGAAACTATAGTGTTTTTACAGTAATATATATATATATATA